CTTGAAGTAGGTCAATGGTAGCAAGGAATAAAGGACAAGGAAACAGGAGGAGGGGTTGATGTTGACAGCAGGCTCAAAAAATTTTAAAGCTGGAAGGGTCTTAGAAATCAGTTGCTGAGGGAGCAAATTGGAGGGGAGGAGGGCATCAGCCTGCTGATAGTACGGTACCTGAGCAGATTATCTCCGGTAGCTGAGTTTCTGATAATACAAATGTCACTGGAATTTGTCTTCTTCATTTATAGAATCATTAATGATGATTATACCTTTTTGTGAAGAAATTTTTATTTTCCCTAACAGTTCATCACCTGGTGGAATACTAACAGTTAAGAACTAGAACAGAACAGATCAGGGGAGAGGATGCCATTCCTATGGTTATTTTCATCCCTGAAAACCATAAAGGGTGGAAAAGATGCAGGGAAAGTATCTATGGTAAACAACTTGTATGTTTATCAATATTACACCTTGAATGTTTAATAGAATATTATATTCTATGAGTTAGGGATCCCCTGTCAATTCTAATTCATTATTTCTTGATAAGAAAACAAAGCCTGGGAACAGCTAGGTGGCACAATTGATAGAGTGCTGGCTCTGGAGTCAAGAGAAACCTGAGTTCAAATCCAACCTCAGACACTTACTAGCTATGTTACCCTGGGCAAGTCACCTTACCCCAACTGCCTATGAAAGGGTAAAAGAAAAAAACAAAAACAAAAAAAAATGACACTGAAGTGACTTTTCCAAAGTTAGAAGCTAGTGAATCACCTACAATCAAAGTTTCCTAATTCTCAACCTCATATTCTTTCCCTCACTATACAGTGTTGATTAATTTTGGTTTTGAAATGATAAATATGATAATGGGACTGCTGGATGAAAACTTCTACCATCTACTGGGTAAGAAATAGAGTGGTGGATCAGTGGAATAGGTTAAATATGCAAGACACAGTAGTCAATGACTATAGTAATCTATTATTTGATAAACCCAAAGACCCCAGTTTCTGGGATAAGAACCCACTCTTTGAAAAAAACTTCTGGGAAAACTGGAAAAGGGTATGGCAGAAACTAGGCATAAACCAAAATCTTACACCATATACTAAAATAGAGTCAAAATGGGTTCATGATTTAGATATAAAGGCTGATACTGTCACCAAACTGGGAGAGCAAGGAATAGTTTACCTATCAGATCTATGGAGAACAGAAGAATTCATGACTAAACAGGAGATAGAGAACAATACGAAAAGCAAAATGAATAATTTTGATTACATTAAATTGAAAAGTTTTTGCACAAACAAAGTCAATGCAACCAAGATTAGTAGGGAAGCAGAAAACCAGGAAAGAATTTTTATAACCAGTATCTCTGATAAGGGCCTCATTTCTAAAATATGTAGAGAATCGAGTCAAATTTATAAGAATATATGCCATTCCCCAATTGATAAGTGGTCAAAGGATATGAACAGGCAGTTTTCAGATAAAGAAAATGAAGCTATCTATAGTCATATGAAAAAAAGCTCTAAATCACTATTGATTAGAGAAATGCAAATCAAAACAACTCTGAGGTACCACATCACACCTATCAGATTGACCAACATGAGAAAACAAGAAAATGATGAATATTGGGAAAGATGTGGGAAAATTGGAACACTAAGACATTATTGGTGGAGTTGTGAACTGATCCAACCATTTTGGAGAGCAATTTGGAACTATGCCCAAAGGGCTATAAAAAATGTGCATACCCTTTGACCCAGCAATACTACTTGTAGGTCTGCATCCCAAAGAGATCATACAAATGGGAAAAGGACCCACATGTACAAAAATATTCATAGGAGCTCTTTTTGTGGTGGCAAAGAATTGGAAATTGAGAGGATGCCCATCAATTGGGGAATGAGCAAATTATGGTATATAAATGTAATGGAATACTATTGTGCTGTAAGAAATGATGAACAGGCTGACTTCAGAAAAACCTGGAAAGACTTATATGGTCTGATGCTGAGTGAAGTGATCAGAACCAGGAGAACATTGTACACAATAACAGCCACATTATGTAATGACTAATATTGATAAACTTAACCCTTCTCAGCAATGCAAGGATCTAAGACATCTCCAGGGGCCTCGTGATGGAAAATGCTATCCACATCCAAAGAAAGAACTATGGAAGTTGAATTGCTATTTTTTTCTCTTCTGTTGAGTTTTGTTTCCTCTTTCTGATAGTTCCTTCTATTGGTTTTAATTGTTAGTTACAACATCACTAATGTGAAAATATGTTTAATAGGAAGGTAAATGTATAGCCTATATCAGATTGTGCACCATCTTGGGGAGGGTGGTGGGGAGGAAAGGGGAGAAAAATTTTAAACTCAAAAGCATATGGAAGTGATTGTTGAAAAATCAAAATAAATTAATAAAATTAAAAAAAAAACTTCTACCATCAAAGTGACAGTAGAAATGTGGGAGTAAACTTCAGGAAAAAAGTTGAGGTTGACCTTAGATTTGGAAGCTTATTATTATTAATATTACTATATGTTATATAATCATGTGATACCATAATTAATAATAATCGTTGATAAAGAGGCAGCATTGCATGGTGGTTAGAGATTCAGCTTCACAGTCAAGAAGACTGGAGTCAAGTCTACAGTCTTACACATGTGACTCTGAACAAGGTTTACTTTGTGCTTTACATAAATTACCTCAGTATATTCTCACAATGTCTAACAGAGATGTGAGGTAGATAGTGGTGGTGCTTCCATCTTATATGTGAGGAAACCAAAAATCAGAGGATGATTTGCCCAGGGTCATCCAGATTTTAAGTCAAATCCAAGGCAGAATTTGAACCCAGGCTTCCTGATTTCAAGCCCATTGCTTTCTTCACAATACCTCTGCCTTTCTACATGATGCTGAATTGACCTACCATGACAATAGATAAAATCTCCAAGGTGGTAAAGAGAAGGGACAAGAAAGATCCCAAAAGGTCACCGTACTTGGAGAAGGCTGTTTCAGTAGAGTAGGAGCACAGACTATTTCACTGGGCTAAACAGACTAGTGAGAAAGTGGAGGGATCTAGAAATCACTTGAGGGCAGTTTTACCTGTGGAAAGAAAAGAGGGAAAAATAATAACAGCCAGAGGGCAAACTAAAATAAAAAGAAACTTCCAAGATAGAGGATACTTATGTCTGTTTTGAAGAGGGAAATAAATTAGCCAGTGAAGAAGCAGAGATTGAAGATTTTAGAAAAAAGGGGTTGAAATAATCTTGGTTAATATTATATACCTTTAGTCCCTTAAGTCAATACAGCAAGTTCTTAGTGTTATATGTTTAATTTCTTTATTCTGTTTATTTGCGGTCATGGCAGTCTGATGGGGTTTGGGTTTGTATTGTTGTTGTTGTTGTTTTTGGCCCTCTCTTTAAACCTTATGACATTTTTAAGATTCCTAAGGGAGAGGGTTTTATGTCCTTATTCTAGCATACATACATACATGCATACATACATTAAATATATATATATATATAATATGTATATATAAATATATATAATATATATACCCACCCACACGTGTGGTGTGGGTATATACAGAGAGAGAGTTCATTATAGACCAGATAATAAATATCATTAGCTGAATTTTAAGATTTTAGCTAAATTTTCTTCAATATCAGTCCAGAATTTACATTTGAATTTTAAAATTAACTCAAAAACACTGAGTTTTAATTCTATGGTTAAATATACCTGCCTTTTGCTTCTCTAAAAATGCAGGCACCATTTTTAGCCACATGGTGGCATCCCATCCTTTCCCAAACCTAGTGACCCCACATTCTGTTCTGTTGTACTGGAATGTTCCTGCTTTCAAATCTAGCATGCCCTACAGGGGTGGGAAACCTATGGCCTCGAGGTTAGATGTGGCCCTCGAGGTCCTCAAGTGCAGCCGCTTGACTGAATCTGAACTTCATAGAACAAATGCACTCCTGTGCCTAGCAGAAATCATGATTAAGAGACTCTCTCATATGCCATGTTGTTATTTCAACCAATCATATAACATGGTTTTTTCTGTTCCTCTTACTGTCTTGGTCAACCATCTCTGGACCTTCTCCAGTTTTCCAGTGCCTTTCCTATAATGTGGTAACCAGAAGAATATTTTAGATGTGCTCTAATCCATGTAGAGTGCAGAGAGACTGACTCTTCTTTTGTTCTACGCAGTATGCCTCTCAATGCAGTTTTAAATTGTATATTTTTTAACTATTAAGTCATGTTGTTTGTTGACTCATACTGAACTTTAAGGTCACTGATGCCTCCAGATTTTTTCACATGAAGTGTTGTCTCCATTTCTGTTTTTGTGTAGACAAGTTTGGTGTTTGTTTTTTTTGTTTTTGTTTTAAGTGTGCGCCTTAAATTTTAGTAGAAATAAGTGTAATCATTTTAGATTTGGACCTAAAGGTCACATTAGTCTTTAGAGACACTTTGTATCTTGACTTTCATCCACTTAGTGCCTTCACTGTCTGTCACTCCCAGCTTTGGGTCATCTGCAAGTGAGTTGTCATCCAAACCATTGATAATAGATTTGGACAACACAAAGTCAAGGTTAGATCCCAGGGCATGACACTGAAGCTTTTTCTCTGGGTTGACATTGATTCATTAATCACTACTTATCAAACCAAGAGAGTAATTCTTATAGCTGGTTAGGAATGTTATGTGCTCTCTAAAGGCTAGTAGGGAATAAGTGAGAATTTAGAGTCTTTTCCAGTTTGTAGAAAGTATGGTCCCAGCTGTGTCACTAAGTAACTATGTGACCTTAGACAAGTCATTTTAGTTCTCTGAACTCATTTCTTCAAATGAGGAAGTTGGGCTTGAAGACTACCAAGTCTCATAGGTATCCATTTTATAATTAATAGCATTGGATCTTTAGATGAGGAGGGAGAAATATGTTGAGAAATAAAGATGTTCATAAAAATAAATTATTAATAATGTTTTAAAAGTTAAATTTAAAATTACCAGGAGTTATTCCTATTGTCTCCTATGCTCAGTAGATTCTACTCCTAGTCAACACTCATTCTGGAAACTGGTTACTCTACCCAAGATTGGACTGCTATCATTTGTCATCATTTCATTAAGTGGAAGCTTTGACTTCTTGGATCCTACACTGTCTCTCTTTGTATTGAATAAAGTAAGTCATATTCATATAAACATTTTCAATTTTGCATATAACTATAAGCTGCCTTCTACTCTGCTTTTAGGAAAGGCCTTTAAATGGCCATGAAGGATATAAGAGCAGGAGGTTTTTCTGGAACTCCAAGTTCTCTACTTCTTCTGGTATAGTGGCATGAGTGCTGCCTCTGAAGTCAAGAAAGACCTGGGATGACTCTCTCTCTGACACCACTTGTGGGACTACTGGCAAGTCATTCAACCTCTCTGGGCCTCAGTCTCCTCATCTGTAAAATGTGAAGTTCAAAAATCATGTACTTAAAGGGCTTTTGCAAACTTTAAAAGTGTTTTACAAAACATAACACTTCCACTGGAAAGACAACTATTAGAAGGAGAAAGTGACTTTGGAAACTACCTGGGTAGCAGCATAATCCCTAATCTTTTTTAGATGAAAAATCTTTTTTAGATGGCCATCAGATGATAACATTAAGGCCTAGTCCAAGTGCTTCAGTGGTACATGTTTGATAAATTTTCTGTGCAGTATCTATGGGAGAGAGAATATAGAAAAGGACTGTACAGGATGAGAAGGTTTGGAAGGGTTGTGATCTGCAGTGATAGAGAGAGTATTGACATTCATGAAATCGTTAGATCCATTAAAATAATTTGAAATAATTAGTACTGATAACTGGTTTAACTTAGAGGCCAAATTGACTTAGTTATTAATATTTTGTTGATATTTAGATGATTAAGCACCATATTCAAGCTCTTGTATCCTGTTACCGTGATTTTTTCTAAAAGCCTAACTTCTTAGAAATAAAAAAATGAACTGTCTTAAATACTATTTCCTAATATATTTGCTTAGTGATAGACTTCAGTTTCTCGGGGGGGGGGGCGGGGAAGAGGAGGTGAAACCAGTAACATCCACTCTAAGAAAACATTTAAAATGCTAAACTATTAAACTATGTTTTACATTTGTATAGTGCTTTACAGTTTTCAAAGGGATTCCACATAGATATCTCATTGGGTCCATAGTTATTTCTTTTTCATAGATGAGTAAACTGAAGCCCAGAGAGGTTACTGACCTGTCAGGTCCTGGCTAGTGAGAAGCACCCAGAGCTTAAGAAGGAAGCCTTCAGACTCTTACCTACTTTGGTGTTCTTTTTTCAGTTCCAAGTTGCTTCTCTACTGGCCCCAACAAGTAGAAAGAGAATTACTTAAATGGGGCTGGGGGGAGGTGGGGGTGAGGGTGGGGAGTTTGTATAAGTTGAATTAGAAAGTATGATAAGAAAGGGTCTTAATTTTATTAGTTGATTCTTACTAAAGAATAGAGCATGACAAATGGTGGAAGGGTGAAAGGAGGGATATTATTTCAATCAGAGGTTTTTAACCTTTTTGTGGGGGGTCATAGACCCCCTTTGACAAATCCTGTGAAGCCAGTTGACCCATTTTCAGAAACATGCTTTGTTTTTAAATTCTTAATTAAAGGGAAGTTTCATTTAGAGGTTACTAAAAATAAAAATGTAACTGTTTTCCCATACCCTCCTAAAATCCACCTACAGACTCCTGAAGGGTAAAAAAAACCCCTGTCTTAGATCAATGACTTAATCATAACTTCAGTGCAATATTTCTCTTGCAGTTTAATTTATCAGCAGGATATGTGGGGCTCATATTTCTGGGGCTAGCATTATCATATGCTATTTCTTCACCTCTCTTTGGACTACTAAGTGACAAAATTCCAGTAAGTATTCTTTGTTTCTTCTTCTTCTTCTTTTTTTTAAGGCAGTTGGGGTTAAGTGACTTGCCCAGGGTCAAACAGCTAGTAAGTGTCAAGTGTTTGGTCTGAGGCCAGATTTGAACTCAGGTGGTCCTGACTTTAGGGCTGATGCTCTATCCACTGTGCCACCTAGCTGACCCTTTCTTTCTTCTTAAGAATTTACTTTTGTGTTTTCACATTTTCTGCTATAAAACACCAATAACATATCCCTGGCTACAGTTTGTTTCTTCCTTCCTTCCTTCCTTCCTTCCTTCCTTCCTTCCTTCCTTCCTTCCTTCCTTCCTTCCTTCCTTCCTTCCTTCCTTCCTTCCCTTTCTTTTCTTTCTCTTTCTTTCTTTCTTTCTTTCTTTCTTTCTTTCTTTCTTTCTTTCTTTCTTCTTTCTTTCTTTCTTCCTTCCTTCCTTCCTTCCTTCCTTCCTTCCTTCCTTTCTTTCTTCTTTCTTTCTTTCTTTCTTTCTTTCTTCTTTCTTTCTTTCTTTCTTTCTTTCTTTCTTTCTTTCTTTCTTTCTTTCTTTCTTTCTTTCTTTCTTTCTCTCTTTCTCTGTCCTTCTCCCTCTTTCCCTTCCTTCATTTCTTCCTTCCTTTCTTTTTTATTCTTTCATTTCAAGATTTTGAAAGAGTAGACCTAAACATAGAATTTTAATTTTGGGAGCACACAAAATTTGGATTTTACTTGTAGGAGAAGGAATTGACCAAAGTAATAGCTATTGGTAGTATGTGAAATCACTGAATGTCACTTCCATTCCTTAACTTCAACTAAACTGTTAGTTGAAAGGGGAAGATGCTAGTGTCCAAATCTTGGGTTTTTATAGCCCTTGTTGCTTGTCTTCCTTCTTTCCTATTCCTACCCACAACCAGGATTTGCATTTACTCTTAATATACTCAAAATTTCTAGATAATTGTTCAGTACTGCTTATAGTGGTCCCTGAAGCTTTATTAAGAAGAAAGGAGTTTGAATCTCTTGTTTATTTTACCTCGTAATGTTTAGCCTCTTTTCAAGTATGTGCATGAGGCAAACTAGTAGTTTTATAGGAGAGATCCTTTTCTCTCTACCTCATGCCTCACTTCTAATTTTACAGTAGCTTTTTTTTGAGGTGAGATTTCATAAAGACATTGGTATATAAATGCCATTCTCCTTTAATTTTGAATCTTTATTACCTACCTGGAAACCATAACTCAAAAGGCATCTCTAAGATTAGCAAGTTTGTATAATAAGTAAACAAATGCCTTTTCTTCATCTCCCACCTTCACCATTTTCTTTGAGATGAAAATGAGATAATTTTAAAGCATATAGCAAGTGCCACATATATGTTGTTATTATTATTATGATGATGATTGTCATTGATGAAAGCCACACAAATATGGCCCCACCTTCATTCAGTTTACTATTCGTTTATTTTCTCAAAGTGAAAGGGAAGTTGGTTTTTCTGCTTACTTGAGTCTTGTAAATATACTGTCTTGCCTTTAACTTATGCTACTCTATTAGTAAAAAGTTTTTACTTCTATATATTTCATCTGGCCCTTGTCTTTTCTTTATTAGTACCTAAGGAAATGGCTCCTGGTTTCTGGAAACATAATAACAGCAGTATGTTTTATGCTTTTAGGACCTGTTCCAATTTTGCATATTGAAAGGTAAAATTTCTCTTCTCTTTTCTCATAATTATTGTGTAAGTATCATTAAGAAGTCTTTAATTTACTGCAATTAATCTGAGATCCATTTTTTTAGTTGCACCTGCTTTTTATCAGTGAGTTACCTTTGGGGCTGGGGCCATGTAGAATGCTGGCCATCCCTTCCTTATTACTCAAAGCACAAGCATCTGAACTTCTTAAATGATCTGAGTTACTAAGAATAAATGAAAGAGTTGGAGATGATAAAAAAGTTGCTTGTAATACCCATGAATCTCTTCTTCATTTCAAAATATTGATGCTAACTTTCATTTGTTTGCGTGCCAAAATAAAGGAAACAGTTCTGGTGCTTTGAGAAAAACAAAAACTCACCCAACTCTAGTAACTTTTGCTCTCATTTATCCTTTAAAAGCAACTTTTTTTTAAGTACTGATAATGTAAATATAACAGTGGTAGTGAGCTTGAATTGGATGCTTTTTGAGGTGGCATGAGTGACTTTCTTCTCAGCTTAGCACAGCAACCGGTCCAAACTTTGCCAAAAGGACTACTGCAAAATACATTTGTTAATACAAAGTTCAGATACTGAGTAGGTATGGCAAAGATGTACTATATACCTGGCTTCCGGAGATACTGTAAGAGAAACAAGACTGAAAGGAATACCCATTAAGGCAGTACAGTTATCCTATTATACATCAAAAGATGTTGGAACTGACCTGAGGACAGAAAGAAGGGAAGGAAATATGATAGGTGGGGCTAAGTAAGGCAAATGGGCCGCTCTTGGAATATGGAGATCACTGGGTTTCAATGGGGTATATATGCTTATATATCTTTTTAGTAGTAGTGATGGTTCCTTTGACGTTTACATTCTCAGGCATTCCCCTTTCCTGCCAGGTACCATCACACCAGTGTGATTACAATGAATCTCTGCTAGAGAGAGACATGGCTTCTGGAGTCAGTAGCCAACAACAGTTCTTCTCTGTGTGAAGCTAACTAACTTGTGACTTTGATCTCATTAGCACAATCTACTAAGTTTTTGTTTTCTTTAAAACATTAATTTTTTCCCCCTCAATTCTTTCTGGCAGTCAGCTCTGGCTGTTAGTCCTACTACTGGTTGTGAATGGCATCTCTGCTGGAATGAGTATAATACCAACTTTCCCAGAGGTACTCAGTTGTGCATAGTAAGTAATCAATTCAATTGATTAGATGATCTGTGTATTTGAGATAATAATAAGTGTTGGAAACTTTCTTTAGTTTCACTGTGTGGAGAAACACTATATAGAAGATAAAAGATCACGTTAAAACCTTCAGGATTTTTGATCCTAGAAATTATTGATAATTGAATTTTATATTAGGGCATAAATTATGGTTTTCTTCATGATGCACCATCATAGATTTAGGGCTGGAAGCAATTTAGAGGTCGCTGAGTGTAGTCCCTTCATTTTACAAATGAGGACATTTGAGCCTCAAATAAGTGAGTCAAGTGACTTGTCCAGAGTCATACAGAGAGTCAGTGTCTGAGGCAGTATTTGAACCTGGATCTTACTGACTTCAAGTCTAGTGCTCTATGATAGACAGAAGAGTTAATGTTTTCTCCCATACACAATAAATAGTCACTGAAGATTTTTGAAAGGAAGAGTGACAGACCTATTCCCCCAGAATGATTATTTTGACAACCGTGTGAATTTTAGAAGCAGAAGAGATAAATTAGAGGCTATTGAGAAACTGAACAGGGCTTTTAATAATACCAGCACAAAGACACATCTTTTGTTGCAACATAAATGTTTCTCCAGCAGTGCATCATCGTTATATATCTTAGAACTGTCTGAGGCATCAGAGTTACAGGTGATCCACAAGGCAATGAATATATGCCTGCCACATTTTTCCAATTATCACTTATACTCAAGAAATGTCATAAGGTATGGAACTAAAGGACTATTTAATTAGAAGAGGCGATGAGCTGGCGATGGCATCATGGCATAACAGAATGTGCACTGACTCTAAAGTCAGGACCTGGATTCAAATCCTATCTCTGATACTACTCATATGACCTTGATCACATATCTTCTGTAGGCTTCAGTTTTTTTAATGATAATGATATTAACAGCAACAACGACAATAATAACAATAGCATTTCAAAAGCACTCTACATATATTATCTCTGCTTTACATTTGATACTCTCATTTGATACTCTCATTTGATACTCACAACATCTCTGTGAGGTAGGTGCTGTTAATATCCCTGTTTTACAGATGAGAAAACTGAAGCTGAGAGAAATCAAGTAACTTGCCCAGAGTCACATAAATAGCAAGTGACTGAGTCAGGATTCAAACTCACATCTTCCCAGAATCTAAGTCCGGTGCTCTATCTGCTGTGCTATCTACTTGTCTACATAATTGGCGTCTCAAATCATCATTATGAGAAAGACTTAAAATGAGGAAGTTAAAGTAGGATGCTGCTGAGTCTTGCCTAGCTCTAACTCTTTAATCCTCTGTGAAATGAGGAGGGATAATTCTGGAGCAGGTAAGTGGCACAGTGGATAATGCACCAGCCTTGGTGTCAGGAGGACCTGAGTTCAAATCTGGCCTTAGCTACTTAGCCTTGTTTGCGTCAGTTCCTCACTTGTAGAAGGAAATGGCGCATCCCTCCAGTGTCTTTGCCAAAGAAAACCCCAGATTGGGTCACAGAGAGGCAGCCATGACTGAACCAACTCAAGAGCAACAACAACGGGTGTACTGCCCAGGCACTGCCCTGGTGTCTGTGAAGTATCAAAACACCTAGAAGGAGGCCTCGAGTGTGCTGGGCAATCGCTCTGTGAAGCATTCGTGGAAGAGCAAGAATAAGGATCATAGAGAATGAAAGGGTACAGATAGGGCAGGGACCTGCTCTGGTGCTAGGAGCCCTCACGTAGGGGGGACCATGGATCTGTTGAAGTATAAACAACAGTCCAGTGAAGGAGTGATGAGATCTGTACTACAGTTGAGATAGTATGAATGGAAAAGGGCATGGACTGGAAAGTTTGAATGGGTAGAGTCAGCAGGATGTGGCAGCTGATGAGATGGAGGGTAGGGGGTATGATTGAGAGAAGAATCAAGGGTGATAGTTTTAGAATCTAGATGATGGAAAGATGGTGGTAACATCAACAGAATTAGGGAAGAAGACAGGTTGGTTTTAGGCATTCTGAATTTGAGCCAACAGGAAATCCAGGTAGAGATTTCTGGAAAGCATTTGGTGATATTAGTGGAATTCTATAGAGTGGAGGGTTAATTATATTGGTTTGGAAATCTCCTACCCAGAAGTAATTGTAAGCTAAAGAAAAATAAGCTAAATCATTAAAGGAGAGAAAACAGAGAGAGAAGAGCCTCTTGGGAGATGGCAATACTTAAGAGTGTGGGAAATGGGATGGATGATGCATCAGCAAAGGAGACTAAGGAGGTATCACATAGAAGGAGAAGGAAGCAGTATCACTAAAGCAAAGATGATAGATATCTCAGAGGAAGGGGTAGCAATGTTCAGAGCTGCGAAAAAGGAAAGAACAATGAGGACTAAGAGAAGAACAATAGATTTAATAATTAAGTGATCATCACTAACATCTGAGAGAGCAGTGGCCAATTTACAAGGAATTGAAAAGTAAGTGGGCAGAAGGAAGATGAGGCAATGACTGTGGACCACTCTGGTGATCAAAGGGAGAAAGAGGATGATTTCTCAAGGGTTCAATGAAGGCTTGGGTATTTTGTTGTTGTTGCTTTTTTTTTTTTTAAGAATAAGGGATACCTGAAACATGTTTGTATAGGCAGTGGGGAAGAAGCTAGTAGATAATGAGAGTTTGAAGAAGACAAAGAGAAAATCATCAATGACTCAAAGCTCCTTAAGAGAGTGAGATCAACTGCACAAGAAGAGGTTAGCCTTGGCCAAAACCATACCCATTTCTTCCTCTCTGACTGGAGCTAAGCAGCATAGAAGAGACGTAGCTGTAGAGATGCTGGTGGGGAATAGGGAAAGTGAAGGCATTTACAAAGCATTTCCTTACTGAAGATAGATGGAGATTTTTGATGAAAAAGAAGGTAGCACTGGGGATTTGTGGGGTGGGTGGAGTTTGAAAGAGCTGCTTCAGGAAGCTTGATAGTCATTCAGAGAAGAATAAAAGAATTATTGATTACTATGGAAGTGTTTTGCATGACTACACATGTATAACCTGTATTGAGTTGCTTGCCTTCTCAATGAGGGTGGGTGGGGGGAGAAAGGGAGAAAATTTGGAACCCAAAATTTTAAAAACAGAAGTTAAAGAATAAAAGAATTGCAAAATATTAATAACCATATGAAAGGTTGCTCCAAATCATTAATGAAAAGAGAAATAAAATTAAAGAAATACTTTTTCACCTCACATCCCTAAAGTTGGCAAAGATGAAGATAGTCAGTGACGGACTCACAGGGGAAAAACAGTCATGCTGAAATACTGTTGGTAGAACTGTGAATTGGTCCAACCATTTTAGAAAGCAGTCTGGAATTATGCTTTGAAAAGTTACTAAAATGTTCATATCCCTCAGAGATTCCACTTATAGATATATATATCCCCAACAAAGTCAAAGACAGAAAGGTCCACACATACCAAAATATAGATAATAATATTTTTGTAGTAGCAAAGAACCAGAAACAAAGAAAATGCCTATTGATTTGGGAATTGACTGAACAAATTACAGTGTGTGAATATAATGAAATATTACTCTGCTGAAAGAGAAGACTAATATGATGAATCTAGAGAAGTACAGGAAAATTTATATGAATTGAAGCAGTGTAATAAGCAGAACCAGGAAAACCATATAATGACAACAATATTGTAAATAGAAAGAAAAAACAACAATCAAAGAAACCAAATGCCATGTGAGTCTAATCACCAAGCATGGTCCCAAAGAAGATTAAAAAAAAATACCTTCCTCCTTTCTTTGTAGAGGTGAGGGATTATGGTTTTAGAATATTGGATATATTATCAGCCTTAATTGATACATTTTGCTGAGCTATTTTTTTCCTGTAAGAGATGATCCATTGGGTAAGGATATGTTTATAATGAAGATGGGAAAAAGCAAAAGATATCATTTTTTTAAAAAGTAATTTCATTCATCAACTAGGGCCCAAATGAGATTAGATAACATATTTGTAGTGGACCCAGTCAGCAGTATTGTTTGCCTTCATGTAGCATTCAGCAACTTGAACAAAGGACGTGGATAGCAAGAGAGTGGAATGACCTAAGACTAGCAGGGTAAGGGAGTAAGGGAATAAAGAGTGGCCAGCAATATATTGTTAAACTTCTTGACTTTAGGGTCAAAGGAAGAAAGTGGGGCTAGAACAAAATTGTATTGGCCTGTATGGAAAGGGCTGAATGGAGAGACTAGGTTTAAAAAGAGTAAAGCAGAGGGAGAGATGAAAGATTAGGAGATAAGGATCACAGAAAGGAATTTCAGAGATCAAGATCATGGAGTTTGGGTGATGTTGAGGTTTAATGTTTGACTACCACTGTGCATAGGACTAAAATGGCGATACAGGTTATGGGAAGCGCAGAGGTTAATAAACTGAGAGGCCAGGCAGTTCACAGGGATAACATGAGTATTTGTCCTCAAGCTTTGAGGCTAGGGAGCAGAATAGAGAAGACTGTTAGCCAAGTGTCAGATTCCTTGAGAATGAAAAGAGAGTGGCCCAGATGCCAGTGGATGCTGGCAGTCACAAGACTCTGTATGGACTGAACATAGACAAGTAGAGAATACCACAAAGCAGAAGTTGCTAGTGGCAGAAGGACAATGTCCTTTGCTGGAACATCATCCATGTCTGACTCCATTGCCCAGGAGAACACTAGGGCCCTGACCCAAAGGCCCTTTTCTCTCTCTAGTCTCTTTCTTGATGATATCATCTGTGTTAATGGATTCAGCTTTGTTGAACATATCATCTCTATGCAGCTGACTCCTAGTTCTGGATATTCGTCCTTTCTTTCTCCTGAACTGTAGTCCTACATCACAGATTACTTTGAGGCAGTTAGGTGGCACAGTGGATGGGGGAGATGCAGGGAGAGGAGGGAATAAACATTTATATAGCACCTACTATAGGCCAAGTGCTGTGCTAAGTGTTATACAAAGAGGATCTCATTTGGTCCTCACAACAACTGTGGGAGGTTAGGTGCTATTATCAACCCCATTTTACAGTTGAGTCAACTGAGGGTTTAAGTGACTTGGCTAGGGTCACACAGCTAGTAAGTGTTTGGTCTGAGGCTGGATTTAAACTCTGGTCTTCCTCCAGATTCCCATTCTAGCACTGTATCTCAGCAGCTAGGTGGTACAATTGATACAGGACTGGGCCTGGAGTCAGGAAGACCTGAGTTCAAATTCAGCCACAAGTACTTATTAACACATCAGTTCCCTTTTTCTTCTAGCATAAAATATAAACTACTCTCTGGCTTTTAAAGCCTTTTGATATCTGGTTCCAATTTCTTGACCTCCTTTATACCCTCTCCTCAGCCATACTGGCCCTACTTGATCCTCCTCTATACTGCATCTCATCTGTCACTTCTGTACCTTTCCACAGGTTGTCCCTCATTCCTGGAATGTCCTTCTTTCTCCCCTCTGTTAATTAGACTCCCTAATTTCCTCCAAAGCTTGGGTCAAGAATGACCTCCTATAGGAATTATATCCTGTTTCTCCCCACAGATGCTATCATCTTCCTGCTTCCCTTATAATAATTCTACATATTCATTAAAAACAATTCTGATGTTTCATCCCATACCATGCAAATTGGCTAAGATATAAGAAAAAGAGACAGTCAGTGGTGGAGAAGCTATAGGAAAACAGGTACACAGACACATTACATTGCATTGAAGTTACAGATCAGTTCAACTATTCTGGACATCAGGTTGAACTAGTCAAGAAAAATGATTAAATTGTGCACGTCCCCTAAGTGATCCCATCACTGGGAATACATTCCAGAGAAGTCAGACAGAAACAAAGGTCCAAAACACTCCTAGCATCACTCCTTGATGCAACACACTGGGAACGTTTCTTGTCACTGTGTTTCTCTCTCCAGCTGCTGCCAACACTTATGCTTAATAAATGTTTGGTTGTTCTCTCTCCAGTGAAAATGGATTTGAAGAAGGATTAAGCACGTTGGGACTTGTGTCTGGGCTTTTTGGTGCAATGTGGTCACTTGGGTAAGAAGTTATTTTCCTATGGAATTAGCTATGTTTATACTTGTTGGAGTTTTCATGTAAGATTTATTGTGCTAGCAGTATAAGATTTACATATAAGAATTGATGTATCAGTTTCAATCCCTTGACTCTTGAAAACCCCTCCCAGAAGCATCATGGAACAGTGGAAGGTAGGGGATGTGGATTTAGATCTGCTTTCTGCCACTTAATAACTGTGTGACCCTGGGCAAATCTCTTAATGTCTCTTATTGGTGAAGTGCACAGTGCCTTGCACGTAGTAGGCAGTCAACAAGTAAATACTTGCTCCTATCCTCCTCCCCATCTTGGCCTCAGTTTCCTCACCTCTAAAAAGAGGGGTTAGACTAGACGACTTCAGAAGTCCCTTCCAAATCTGTATGTGTCTGTGTCATGTTGTCACAGGGTATCAAAATCCAGGCTCAGGATTAACCAGGTGGGGAAATTTCCTGTTCAGAAAGGAAATAGCAAAATAAGGAAACTGAGTCAAGACTATCCTAGCTTAGGCCACACCAAGACTGTGCCCTCAACTTTTCCCAGGAACAAGCATCCACTTATAGCAGTTCTAGAGCTGCAGCACGTGCCATTTTCTGTTACTGGCTTCATTGCAATTTAGACAACCATCCCTGTAATCAAAACTCAAAACAAAATATAATTCCCAAGAGTCATTACTTCAAATAGCAACATTTCACTAAACACAACTTAGGGCTTGAATACTATTAACGTCTCATGTTTCCCTAATAATTAGATTTCATTTATTCTTTATAAACTAAAATTAACCACATTCTGGGGTTTCAGACGGATAATTGACTTCATGTTAATATATTGAAGTTACATCTTTAAACCACTCTATATGTTTTCATAATTATTGTAAATGATATCTAAAATCTTCAAATAAAAACTCAACATTTTAGTAAACATTATTATTATCTGTTTTAAAACAAAATATATCCCATTACATATTTGTTTTCAAATATCAGTTTCTATCACATTCTTTTAAAAGCTCAATTCATAATCTAACAGCATCCAGATTAAAAAAAAATATTGTTTTAACAGTATTTCTGATATAATGGTTTTCCAAATATCACAGTAAAGAGAATTTAGAAATCCAATAACAGCACATACAATGTCATGTATTTAAAATATGGATCAAAACTAATTACCGGTTAGAGGACGTCAATTTAGCCGAATGCATTTCTAAATTATCTTACGCAGAAAATCATTAATCTTATTACCTTTGGTATTTTATATTAATCACATCTAAAACCTGGTATGCAATTGCACTAATTATAGAAATAATAATAATCATCAACATTTACATAGTGCTTATCATATGCCAGTCATTATGTTAAGCACTTCACAATCATTATATCATTTTGATCCTCACAACAGTATTGGGATATGGGTACCATTATTATTTTCCTCTGTACAGATAAGGAAACTAAGGCAAACAGAGATAACTTGCTTAAGATCATACAGTTAATAAATTTTGGAGACTGGGATATAACTCAGGTTTATCTTCTCCATGCATTTTTCCAGCATTTTTTTTTTTGTTGTTGCTCATGTTGTTGCTGTTGGTGTTGTCCAGCACCTTTATTTGGAAACCTGATCTGAGATGAGAAGAATTAACAAAGTCAAGGGAGAGGGTCTCTGAACTGGGGCAAGTCACAGGGGGTCTCTAAGCTAGGCTGGGAGTCAGAGGGGAATTTCTGAGTTGGGATGGGAGGCTCAGGAAGTCCCTGATCTGGAACGGGGGTCAGAAGTGGGATCTCATAGTTAGGGTGCGGAGGTGGGGCTAACGGGGTCCCTCCTCACAGACCTTTTTCCATTCCTTAATTAAATTTTACTCATTTTTAAATTGCTCCCTAATTTACACAAGCTTTTTTCTTTTCATGGTTAAGGAAAGGTTAACAAGAGGTGGCTATAGAATACAAACTGCATGCTTATATTTTTTCTTCACTCTGGGATTATTTTCAAACTAGCTGCCTTCATTACACTAAAACATATAGCTCTATCAATCTTCAGGGGAAAAGTGATCTAAGTGTTATTTACCCCTGAAACTTTTATAGTTCTACAGAGTGGTACTTCAAAACTCACTAAGATATTTCAGCCTATGTTAAATTTCTGTTAAGTGCCTTATCAGATAGAACAAAGATAAGGAGGTGAGTTCCTGGAATTACTCCCATGCAATCTAAATGATTAATCTCTGATCTCTTTAATCTGTAAACCTCTAAAATCTATGATATTTTTAGCAGTTCTACAAACTAGGAAAAAGTTTTCCTTTCTTTGATTATATGACTTTATCTTTGTAATTCCAATATGACTACAACTGAAAAGACAGAGAGAAATATCTTGCAGGGTTTTTGTTTTGTTTTGGATTTTTTTTTTGTTTTTGTTTTTTTTCCCTCCTTAAAACCTGATCTTTTACCTCAAGTGGGAGCTAATGCTGCTTACTGGGACAACAGCTTTAAGTATAAAACTTCATTACTCTTTCCCAGCATTTTAAACTCTTTGACTAGCTTTTTAGCAGTTTTTTTCTGGCTGTCAGCATTTTCCCCTTGGAAATCTTTCAAGGTAGCAGGATCTACAAATAACACTAAACACAATACAAGACAAAAAAACAAAAACAGACAAAATGATAAGACAAACATATTTACTAGCCTTAATCATTTTTACTTTACAGTAATAAAAAGAGCCAAATTAGGACCAAAACAAATTACCAGTTGAATCTCTTACATATTTATGTCAGATCTCACATAAATCAGTTGTGTGCTGTTTATTCATTCCTGTAACTATCAGGAGCATCCCCTGTTGCCATGCTACCAAAAATCTATCCAAGAGGAAACCCACTAGTATTTTATTACTCTGGGAATCCATAATTCTTTTCCATCCCTGCGGGGAAATCCTTAACCTAAACTTCATCCTAAACTTCCCCTTCTCCTAAGTAAAAAAATCTAATTATTAACTACTCTCCTGGGGGAAAAAACTACATCGCCCCACTCCTGGGGTAAACTTATTGTATAACTACACCCTAAACCTTATCTGAGTCTTGGTAACCAGAGAATTCTAGGTAGTTTTTTCTGAAAACTGGCAGCCCAAGAGTCACAGTTCTGTCTCAACCTGGCTGTCTTTGCCAAAAATTGTGGTGGCTGAAAGATGAAATGACTGAGAAAACAAAAGCTCAAGCTTCATTGATTATTGATTTATTAAGCATATGGATTTATTAAGCAATGCATGCCAATTGCCTAATGACTCAGTTCCAGGACATAGTCTTTTTAATATATTCATATATACACATATTTAAACACACATAATTTCTTCTCTAATCTTGTGGGGTATGTATACACACATACAACAGTAGTTCAAGAAAGGATCTGTGCTTTATGAGCCTGAGGAGCTCCCAATGTAAGAACTCCCTCCCTACCAGGAGACAAACCCATGGGAATTACCTGAAGCAAAGAGGGGAAGTGAAGTGCCCAGATCACACAGTTACTAAGTGTCATAGGTCACAAGTGGTATTTGAACTCAGATCTTTCTAATCCTAAGCCCAGAACACTGTCCACTACACCATACTGTCTATAGACACCTATCTGTGTGTGTCTATACACATACATATATTCTTGTTTCAAGCTTCTTGGAAAATAAACCCTGTATTCAACTTAATAGTTCTATATTTTATTTATTAAAATATCTACAATAACTTCTTGACTGGTCTCCTCACCTCCGAGTTCTCACCCATACTCCATTCTTCACACAGCTGCCAAATTATAATCTTTCTAAAATTCTCTGGGTATCGTGACAGTTCCTCTTATTCAAAAACCTAAAGTGGCTCCCTATCACCTATAGGATACAGATCCAAATGGCGCAGCTGCAATTTAGAAGCAGTCCACTGAGCCAACTTTACATATTTCCCAATTCAGAGCTGGCTTTAAGCAGGTTGATTTTTTTCCTCGCTGTTATCCTGTTATATGTCATGGTATACATTCCTGCTCACATTGCTTCTTTGCTCACATTGTTCCTTCCACATCCATTCCCAAAGACCTCCTCTGTCCCTTCTGCCCAGCTCATACCTCACCTTTTCCATGAGACCTTCCCTAATTATTCCAACCCACATTGAAGTCTCCTTTCTCAGAATTCCTATAGCACCTGTTGGAACTTCAATCACATGCCGTAACAACAACAACAACAACAACAATTCATGGCTGTGTGAAAATAGATTATAAATCCTTTGAGGTCAGGGACCATATTTCATGCTACCATTTGTATACTCTACCATACCTAACATGATAGATATTCTTTGAAACAAATTACATAATTAAAAAATACTGCTTGTAGACCTATGGATTAGAAATATAAAAGATATGTGCTAACTATCGCTTCAGCTTTTGAGGAATTAAGTTTTTTAAGATTCTATGAGGTAGAACTCAAGTCCTTAACTCAAGTCCTACATTTGACTAATAAACGAATGTTGTTTGATTTTTCTTTCAGCAATTCAACTAAATTAGCATGTAAGCATAATTCCAAAGAATTAGAGGGTCTTTTAACTTAAAAAAGCAGCTTTCTGGGGATACATTTTGTTTTCTCCATTTGTTTTTTAGAGCATTCATAGGACCAACATTGGGTGGATTTTTGTATGAAAAAATTGGTTTCGAGTGGGCTGCATCTGTACAAGGACTCTGGGGTCTAATCTCTGTAAGTAATCAGTCTTTTCTCTTATGTTATATTAGTGCTTATGGAAAATAAGTTCAAATTTTTAAAAAGGAAAGAACTTCAATGAAAAAATGCACAGATGAGAACCCAAAAGAATTTCAGAAGGCACACAAATGAGCAGCCCAGTTTTAGTACTGTTTGGTTAAATTTGAATATATTTTGAAAACTATGTAATAGAAATTCACAGTTTCATATAAAAATACATGCGTATCGTACAAGTGATTTTAACCAGCTATTGTAATTCCATTAAAGGGACTGTCAATGGGACTGTATTATATTGTGGAGCACTGGCGAAGAAAAAGGTACTTTAAACTGTTCTTTCTGGTTTATTTGTTCTTTATTGATGATTTTTTTGTTTGTTTTTCCATAACATTCATTTTCAAGTATGTTTCTTCCCCTCCTCCCAAATCAATAGGCCTTCTTTAGCAAAGTCTTAAAAAGGAAAAGTAGTTTTAACAAAACCAACAAACAAATGGACTTTACCTGACAGGGTATGCAGTAGCCTCAATTAAAGTCTCCCCACCTCTGGGAATGAAGGCAGAGTTATTTTTCTGCTTATTACAGACTCTTCTGTTGGGTCATTTAATAACCTGATCTCAACCTGCTTTGCCAGCATTATTATAAGCTACTCCCCTTCCTGTACTATGGAATCCAGCCCAACTTTCTTGCTGTCTTTCATAAAATACATTCCATTTCCTTTCTCCATGCCTTTGCATGGGCTATCCCTTATACTTTACATGCATGGTCTTATCACTTCCGCCTCTCATAGTCCCTAGTTTCTTTTAATAACTTATAACAATAATAATAATAATAATAAATCTAACATTTAATATGTGCCAGGCACTGTGCTAAGTGCTTTACAGTTATTATCTTCATAACAACCTTGCAAGGCAGGTGCTATTTTCCCCATTTTATAGTTATATTTAATATATTTCTCATGTTCCCATTTTACAGGTGAGGAAACTGAGGCAAACAGACTTAAGTGACTTTCTCAGGGTCCTAACAGCTAGGAAGTCTGTGAGGTCAGATTTGAACTCACAGTCTTCCTGTGTTCGGACTATGGTGCCACCTACCTTCCCCAATTTAATCACCACTTCCTCCGTCAAATCTTTCATGGTCTCCCTCAACTGCTAGTACCTACCCCCTAAAATTATTTTAAATGTATTTGAACAAACTCTTATATGTAAAGTCTCTGAGGGAAAAACTATTTGCTGTTTGTCTTTCTGCCAAGTATAGTTGCCCACCCATGCTCGTTGATTGATTAAAGAACATTTTGTCAACCTTTCAAATTGCCAGGCCTAGTCATTATAATTACATGGGATTCAGTTGTGTTGCATTGTTGTAGTTTTTGTGTATTTTTTTTTCTTGGTTATGCTTACTTTATATTGCATTATTTACTATCAGCTTTTCCTTTTAAAATTCTTATTTGAGGGAATGAAAGTAGTATAACTTTAAATGCCATATTCCTAGAGTCAGTTCACTTACAAGAAAATGAAATCATATTACGTGGCAAGAGTACTTGTCAAGTAAACATTTGGATGCAATTTAAAATACTCACTTTTTTCCTTTTAAGAAACATTAGAGGGGCAGCTAGGTGGCACAGTAGATAGACCTCTGGCCTTACAGTCAGGAGGACCTGAGTTCAAATTTGGCTTAAGACACTTAAAATTTACTAGCTGTGTGACCCTGGGAAAGTTGCTTAACCCCAATTACCTCACCAAAAACAAACAAACAAAAAAAAAGTATTACTTTCTCATTGGGCGGGGTGGAGTTGGGAGGGAAAGAAGAAAGATCTTTTATGAAAATAAAATATACATTAAAAAATAAACATTGTAATGTCTTTCTCTGTTTTAAAAAAATTGTAGGTGTGAACCCCAAAATACCCTCCACACGGAAGAAGAAAGAACATCTCTGTTGCCCCATCGGATATAGCCTTACATACTCTAGACTGATAGAACGCTTGAAGCTATATTCTCATTACTTTTAGAAATCAGAAATATTATTTTCAGGAAGAAGAGCCCACAAACAGAACACAGGGCCCTAAAACCAGCCCTCTGAACGAGTTGACACTACCTTTTGAATGATCCAGTGTTAGGTGGTCAAGTGCCCTGAAAAACTGGCCAACTTTGATACATTTGATGCACATTGTACAGGACAAATGGAAAATTCTGTGAATTTGTTTTTATGTGTATGTGAAAGCTCCTTGCTTTCTGGACTGGGTGGCTGAATGCATCCAGGTTTCTTACAACTTCAGTGTACATTTTACCATAAGTGCAATCATTCTATAAATGCACCTTTTTATAGGGGGGCTGGGGAGAGAGACTGACTTAACTTATCTCTGGGTAACTGATAACTTCAGCAAACTTGTACAATGACTGAACCTCAGTGACTTAATAATGACTCAAAATATTTGAAAGAATGAATTTGAAATTAAATAAAAGATCTTCTTTCATAGTGTTTTACTCATTTGTCTATCTGGTTCAGAAAGGAAAATTCCTTCTTACTGTGGTTGAAATCTAAAGGGTCCCTTCTTTCTTTAAAAAGAAAAAGAAAGGAAAGGAAAAGAATAATCTGTTGTACTTTTGAATGGCACATGAACAACATTGCTGAAGTCTGTCTTTTTATAACATATAGTTATGGACTTACATAATAAGATTTATCCCAGTTCAGCAACCTCAGGCTCAGTTTCCTCATCTATAAAATAGAGAGATCATTTACCTCAGAGGTTTTCTGTTAAAATAATAGGCTTGAAAATTCCTATTATTTAAATTAGAAGCCCTAGACAGACATTCGGGTGCAGCACTTCTATTTGCAGACAGAGGACACCGCTGCCCTAGATCCAGCTTGGGATCATCTTGGACTCCTTTTACTTACCCACCCCCTCTTCCCCCCCACCATATCCAACCCATTGCCAAATCTTTTATTTCTACCTTCACAACATCTTGTCTAGACATCATCTTTTCTCCACAAACAACCACCACCCTTGTTCAGGTTTTTATCCCCTCCTGCCTGGATGATTGCAATAGCCTTCAAATTGGTTCCCCTTCCTCCGGTCTCTCCTTTCTCCAGACTCTTTTATTCCGCTGCCAGAGTGACTTTCCTAAAGCTTGGTTCTGTGTCAGTCACCTCCCTGCTCAGCAAATGTCAATGGCTATTTCCTCTAGGATCAAACATAAAATCCTCTATTTGGTATTTCAAGCCTCTTCACAGCCTGGCCACTTCTTACTTCTCTAGTTGTATTACACTTTCCTGCCCTCTGTGCATGCCACAGTGCAGCTGTGATAGTTTGTTTGCTGTTCCTTGTGTCTTTGCACTGGCTGTCCCTTGTGACTGTAATGTTCTCCCTCATCTTCCCTCAGTTTCCCTGTTTTTCCGAGTTGTTGTTGCTGTTCAGTGTCCAACTCTTCATGAGCCCATGGACCTTAGAATGCCAGTATTCTCCATAGAGTTTTCTTGGTAAAGATACTGGAGTGGTTTGCCATTTCCTTCTCTGGTGGACTGAGGCAAACAGAATTTGTTAAGTGACTTATCCAGGGTCACACTGCTAGTAAGTGTCTGATTTGGGATTTGAACTCAGGTCTTCGTAACTCCAGGCCCAGCACTCTATCCACTTAGCCAGGTAGCTGCCTTCAAGCTTCCTTCAAGACTAAGCTCAAATATTGTGTTTCCAGATCTACTCCCTCCACCAGCGAGTACCTTTTCTTTAAGAATACTTATGTTTTACACTGTTTGTATCTTGTATGGGATAGCTAGGTGGTGCAGTGGCTGAAGTCAGGAAAACCTGAATTCAAATCTGGCCTCAGACATTTATTAGCTGTGTGATCCTGGGCAAGTCGCTTAACCCTGTTTGCTTTAGTTTCCTCATCTGTAAAATGAGCTGAAGAAGGAAATGGTAAACCTCTCCAATATCTTTGCCAAGAAAACCCCAAATGGGGTCATGGGAAGTCAGACACGACTAGAACAGCAAAATATCTTTATTTTTTTCCAAGTCAAAAACATTTACTAAGCACCTTCTGTGTGCCAGGCACTGTGCTAAGAGCTGAGGATACAAAGAGAAGCAACAAATAGTCCCTACTCTCAAGGAGCTCACAATCTAGTGGGGGAGTGACAGCATAAGGTAGTAGCTTCATTGTGACTGATGAAAAATTTATTAAAGACATATTGAAAAATATTTCCCTTTTTTGGTCTGTTTTCTATTCTCTTTTGTTCTTTAAATGCTTTTGAAACAACATGGCTTACTTGGCTCTCATGCCAAATTTTCTGCAAATTTGTTTTTTCCTCCACCACTTGTCATTGTTTTGAGCTAATACTGCTCATAAATCAGGATCATTCTTTCTTAAAAGGTTTTATGGATCAGTTAATATTCTAAACTAGTTTTGCTGTTGGCTGCCAGGAGTCTTTTATTTGGCAATAACACTAAATGTTTGCTGAGGAAGTTTCTAGGCTCTTTTAACCTCCACAATGAAGTAGTTGCTCTACAATGGTTAAATTTCCACAGGAATTGATGAAAATTCATCTCAGGGTAGGGTTCCATATATATATACACATACACACACACACACATATTGAAAACTCTTTATCTCAAGGTTTCAAGAACTGTTCTTGGTCCTTTCCTATTTATTTCTTCAGCCTTTTTCTTAAACAGTGATTTATAAAAAGTTTTTGCTGCATCCAATCTGACCTAATCTTCCACAGAAGAGAAACATATATTATCTTTCCCTCCACTTAGAATGGTCCTCTCCTTCCACTTCTCTATATATGTAAACCCTATTCTGCTTTCAACGCCCAGTTCACGTGCACCTCCTCCTTGAGTCCTTACCTCACCATGTTATAATTCAACTATATAAAAAGTATATATTTTTCCATCTTATTTCCTACATGTATCACTTAGTATGTGCTACTTATATTGTAATTAGATCTTTAAGTAAATATCCTATTTCCCAGATGAGTTAGAAACCCATCTGACAGCAGCAACTATATCTTATAACACTGCTTTGTGTCTCAGTGCCTACAGTGCTTAAGACAAAAAAAGTCTCATTGTATCCTCCCCCAAATCCTGTGATGTGTAAATAATAACAAGTATAGAGAGGAAGTTTGTTGTCGTGAAAAGAGCACAAGACTGAATCAGCAAAGCAGATAGCCTGTCCCCAAACTCCCTAGTTGTTATCACAATAAATCTCTGAGCCTCTGTTTTTTCATCAGTAAAATGCAGAGGTTGTTGCATCAAATGATATGCCTGAAAAGTGCATTGTCAGCCTAAAGCAGTAAGGGAATGTCAATGACTATAATTAGCATCATGAAAACTACACTCTACATGTAAACAACATACGATAAATGTTTGTGTCAACAAATGATGAATAATAGAGACCTAGACCAGAAGTCATTTGATCCATTATCAAGCTGAATCACCAACTTAACCTTAGGCCAGTTACTATCTCCCAGGTTTCAGTTCCCTCATCAGTAAAATGAGAAGGTTTAAAACTATAGCTCTATAATTTTATGATCTATGATGATATTATACTCTTTCCCTTAAAGATTTGAAGGTGTTAAACAAAGAACTTCTAACTTCTAATCGATATAAGGATTGCAAGATCCAGATCTTTAGGGATCAATTGTGCAAAAAGTTGAAGAGGAAGATGGACAAGGGAACTAAAATTTAGAGAAAGTCTAGCAGTCAATAGGCAAGTCTACTCATCCAGATATATTAATTTATGTTGATGTCCATTTCATATCTGTAGTTTAAGATAAACGGGATAGTCTTCCTTACTCATAGTATTTTTGGGGGCTAAACTTAAAAGCAGGTCTAGTCAGATGTTCTGAAATGTTTGTGAAAGAGGTATGTGCAGGGCAGTTTCCTTGTAGACAGCATGGAGTCCCAGAAGATGACAGTCATCATTGTTGACAGCTAGTTCTTCAGGAATTGCAGCTGCAAACCTGGCCTCCTTATTTCCAAATACACACAAGTAATCCTTGTGGCAAGAGATTCGGCAGTGTACCTCATGGAACAGATAACATAGCTGCATAAAGATCAACCAAGCTGGCCATGGAAAACATTGTCCATGCTGTTTGGACAGCAACATGTGAACCTGGTACGTAAGGTCTGGGGATAACAAAGTGAGCTCCATCACAAAAATCTGTATAATGCCCGTAAGTGCCCTTTTCTTCCCGTATCCTTTCATGACTGAGATCCCAGAGGTGAATTATATAATGTAAAATTACGTGAGCAGCCCTCACTGTCTCAAGGAGAGACTGGGCAGCCAGGAAGGCCAGCCTGTGCATTCCATGGGTGTAGCGCCTCACACAGCAGACTACAGCTAATCCACAACAGGAGAGTAGAGTAGCAATCAGAAGAGTCAGCACTCAGAACTGGCTGCTCATTGGTGTGGTGAGAAAAAACAAAAGCTGCCTCTCACTAACTCAAAGAGGACCAAATAGAACACACTGGATTAGCTTGGCCACCAATCAAGAAACAGCAAAAAGTATTTTTTTAAAACTCCATTTAGTTTATTAATTTTTTATTAAATTTTGTTAATTTCCTAACGTAAAACTATTTTTAAAATGTAGAAATGTATCTGAACTGTACAGAAAGCAACCTTAATCATGTAACATGAGTGCTATGGTGGGCAGATGCTAGACACGGAGGGATCTTTTTTAAAGTGAGAGCTGGCTTATTAAGGAAAAATAGTTTAATAGTTATGCATATAAAAATAAATCTACAAAAGCAACCAGGGCTCAAATTCAGTCAGTATTCAGTAAGTGTAAAATACTACAACTATTTCGACAGTGGGCTATACACTTAATTCAATTCACTTGAAAGTCAGGGCAGCACCTCCCTGATGTCATGGTCCTTTTGGAGACTGATGGACAAGCAGCAGCAGCAGCAACAGCAGCTGCAGCAACATACAGGTTTCCCCCTCTCACCTGTGCAGGTCAAATCATTTTGCCTCTGACAATGAACCAGCATAAAGGGCTTCTCAATAACTGGCTATCAGCAAGCTGAAAAATCCCTGAGAAACCCTGTATCCTTAAGGCTCCAGAATCTATATAAGTGATCAGAGCACTCAAGGTAAAACTCAGCAACAAGTGAGTGAGGAAGGCAAAAGCAGAGAACAAGCAGTATTTACCAAGACCCACACAAAGAGGCTGTAGGGCAGCAGGTACTGGACCACATCTTGGGTGGGCTGAGGATTTGATAGGCACTCACGATGGTGCCCAGCAGTGCCAGACTGTTGAGGCCTGTGTAGTGCAGAGGATGGGCCAGAGGAAGCACTCCGAAAAGAGCAGTGGCATAACTAAAGGGATGGTAGCCCTGGGCCCCTGGGCCTCTCCTAGTAGTCCCCAGAGCTGCTTCAACAAAATATCTTGTATGTGCATTACTGTTTGCATATTGGCTCTGTCACTGGAATTGGGGCCTTGGTTTTAACCTTTCCTTGTATCCCCAGTACTTAGCACAGTGG